ATTTCTAAAGTAAAAAAAATGTTAACATAATAATTTAGTTCATGATTTTAAAAAAATCTTAGCAAACTAATAAAGAAGTTTTATATTTTGATAAAAGTATCTACAAACAAGCAACATCAGATATCATATGTAATGATGAAATACAGAATGCTGCCCTGGCCAGTTTGGCTCAGCGGTTGAGTGTCGGCCTGTAGACCAGAGAGTCCTGGGTTCCGTTCCCGCTAGGGGCACGTACCACAAAAAATTTTAAAAAATTTTTAAAAAAAAGAAATACAGAATGTTTTCTCTCTGATATTGGGAATGACACAGAAAAACCTATTGTCATCATTTTTATTTAATACTGTACTAGGCAAGAAATAAGGCAAGAAAAAGAAAAATAGTTATAGTGCTGGGGAAAAAAAATGTAAATGTAAATGTCATTTGCAGACATAATTGTGTATGCACAAAAATCATTTATCTATATATATACTAGCAACACACAATTACATAATGTAATTTGTAAAAATATAATTTTTAATGGCATCAAAAATATCAAATACCTATGAATAAATTAAACACATATTAAATGTACACAGAAAACTGTAAATACTAAGACAAGTAAAAGACAATCTAACTAAATGGAAAACTATATTGTGTTCATGGCTTATAAGACCAATGTTAAAAAGATGTCACTACTCCCCACAATGGTCTACAGATTACATGCAATCTCAATTAAAATCCCAGCACAGCAATGGCCAGTTTGGCTCAGAGGTTGGATCATCGGCCCGCGGACCAGAGAGTCCTGGGTTTGGTTCCCGCTAAGGGCTCGTACCTCGGTTGCAATTTGTCCCTGCCCTGGTTGGGGTCATGTGAGTGGCAGCCAGTTAATGTGTCTCTCTCACATCGATGCCCTGCCCCCCCGTTCTGTATGAAGATAAATGAAAAAATAAAATAAAATAAAATCCCAGCACCTTTTCTGAGAGGATGCCAAGCAGATCCTAAAATTTACCTGAACATATAAAGCGTCAAGATTAGCTAGGTAATTATGAATCAGGGCAAAGCTGGAGGACTTAAGTCACCAGATATCAAGACTGACTAAACCTACAGTAATTTAGACAGTGGCATTTGTGCAAAGATGACAAAAAGACCAAGTGCAGCTCTGGCCGGTTTAGCTCAGCGGTTAGAGCATTGACCTGCGGTCTGGAGAGACCCGGGTTCGGTTCCCACTAAGGGCAGGTACCTCGGTTGCAGTTTGTCCCCGGCCCTGGTTGGGTCATGCGGGAGGCAGCCACTCGATGTGTCCCTTTCACGTCGATATTTCTCTCTCTCTTTCTCTCTCCCTCCCACTCTATCTGAACAGAAAATGGGAAAATGTCCTCGGTGAGGATAAAAAGAAGACCAAGTGCACGGGGCGCCCAGAAGCAGACCCAGACGTTCAGTCGCTAGAGCAGACAGACGCCACTGCGGGCACTGGGAAGGACGGTCGGCGCAATGAATTACATGGGGTCAAGTGCTGTCCATATAGTTAAGGGGGAGGAAAGGATCCTGGCCCGTCTCACACCATCACCAGAAACCGGTTCGGGTGGACTGCAGAGCTGACTGACAGGAAACAGGAGCTTTCTCGGGAAGGTCTCTTCTGCTCGTCAGCTGGGCTCTAGTCAAGTGAAAGTCTCTGCTTACCAAAGACGCCACAGAGCGCGAAGAGGCAGAGACAAGAATGTGAAAGCAAATCCGCCATGCATATATGTACTCAATACATAAAAAGAACTCCTTCAAAGCAACAGAAACAAAGCAGACAACCCAAAAGAAAAATTGGCAAAAGACAACTACTTCACAAGAGAAGAGATTCCCACGGCCAACACCACACGCAGGGCAGCTCTGCCCTGCACGGTCACTGGTTGTCAGGGAGCGAGCTCACACCACACTGTAAATCCTCCCACTCCACACCCACCAGACTGTGAGCATGAACAACGTGCGGAACCGCGCACTAGAGAACCAGATTGCTCACACATGCAGGTGGCGGCACCAAAAGCACCACCTGGTGTCTGCTGAGGCCGACCAAATGCGCTCCCATCACTCGGCAATGTCAGTCCTCTGAACACACCCAACAGGGATGTACACAGCTCTGCATCCAAAAAACAAACAAGGATATTCAGGGCAGAATTCGCAAAAACTAGGAACAACCCCAACACCCATGAAAAGTAGAAAGAGTAAGTTACAGCAGCCCAGGCCAGCATGGCTCAGTTGGCTGGGGTATCATTCCGTGCACCAGAAGGTCATGGTTTCCATTCCCAGTCAGAGCACATACCTAGGGTGTGGGTTTGATCCCCAGTTGGGAATTATACGGAAGGCAACTGATCAATGTACCTCTCTCCTTTTTTTTTTTTTTTTTTTATCCTCACCCGAGGACACTTTTTCATTCTTTGTTCAGATAGAGCAGGAGGGAGAGAGAGAGAGAAACATCGATGTGAAAGGGACACATCGAGTGGCTGCCACCCGCACGACCAACCAGGGCCGGGGACAAACTGCAACCGAGGTACATGCCCTTAGCGGGAACCGAACCCGGGTCTCTCCGGACCGCAGGCCGACGCTCTAACTGCTGAGCCAAACCGGCCAGGGCAATGTACCTCTCTCATATGGATGTTTCTCTCTCTCCCTTCCTCCTTCTCTAAAATCAATTAAATAAATAAATTCAATTAAAATAAAGAAATAAATAAGTTACAGTACATTCATTTGCACATTGGATTACTAGGCAGCAGATGAGAATACACAAGCTACATAAGACAATATGACGGGCCCTGGCTGGTTTGGCTCAGCGGTTAGAGCATCGGCCTGTGGTCCAGAAAGACCCGGGTTCGGTTCCCGCGAAGGGCACGTACCTCGGTTGCAGTTTGTTCCTGTCCCTGGTTGGGTTGTGCGGGTGGCAGCCACTCGATGTGTCCCTTTCACGTCGATATTTCTCTGTTTTTCTCTCTCTCCCTCCCACTCTATCTGAACAACAACAAAAAAAAGACAACATGACGGATGAATCTTACAAACATAATGTTGAATGAAAGAATCAAGAAACAAAACACACATTATTTCATTTATATATAAAATCAAGAACACGCCAAAGTAAACATCGCCAAAAGTCAAGACAGTGATTTTCTATTGATATTTGTTGGGATTCTGAATACAAGTTTTCTTGAAGAAAGAGTTCTGTGGTAAGAAAAAAACCTGAGGACCACCGGAACAAATAAAATAAAAGTCCAAAAAAATAAAGGGCTGCAGTGAGCTTTGAGGGACAATTACTGGGAGTGGGTAGGAGGCTTCTGGGAAGCTCAGTGATGTTCTCTTTCCTGATCTAGTGGTGGTTACAAAAGTGTGTTCACTTCGTGAAAAATTCACTGAGATGTACACTTATGAGTTGTGAACTTCCCTGATGTCTTATAATTAAACTTTATTTAAAGTACATATGCTCACTGCCTACAGAACGTACCAGGAGTACAAGTGCACTTACCTGCTCACATGCCTCCTACCTGGTTACACTATTAGTCACCAGACAAGAGACAAAAGCCAGGCAAAAGAAGCGTCCAAGAAATGTTCACGTTATGGTCCCCGCGTGTCGGAAATGCTGGACTCGGGTGCTCCCGTGGCGAGGCGAGCACGCAACACCATCACATCTCTGCTCAGGGGCATTCCCAGGCCAGAGACAAATCACCGAGCCCTTGCCCCCCAGAGCGGCAACTGGGCGGCACGAGACCGCGCTGCGCAGAACTCCTGCCCGGCCCTGCCCGGCCTGGTGCTCCTTCAACGAACCACTCGCCAAATGTGCAAGGGTCTGACACACACTTCAGTGTATGTACCTCACATTACCTTAAAGCACACAATCACACACACACAAACCGTACAACTATAAGATTTACAAGTACACTAACATCCTGGCGGAACAAAATCTGACTGATCCTTTCAAGCTTCTGGTAATAAAAATCTGACCTAAGCAAACTTGGTAATTTAGAGGACGGGAATGAGAAAAACCTTAATAATTCTCTAATCCACAAAAAGGGAACATTATAGAACTAACATTAAATTATTGCTGCTAGACAAGAAAGCCGAATGGTCGGCTTATCAATCTTTCAGGATTGCTGACTAAAGCCAAGAAACGCATGAAGGCCAGTAATTACTCCCTCACTGCCCTGGTGCGCGCCCCTCTCGCGGGCGTCGGCGCACGCTTGTTCGGGGCTACCCAGAAGCGCCATCAAGGCAGCTACTGAGGGTAAGTAAAATGGCACCTAGACAGCTCACGAACCCCCAAGAAAGCTTCCCGTCTCCCACTATGCTCTGTACCTCTTGCCTTCCATTCCCGTTGACATTTTCTCCCTTCACCTATCATCACCCTCAGTCAGCTCCATAATAAAGGGTCTGAAACGCGGGTCCAAATGCATAGGTGAACACCTGCAGTGCCAGTCCGAGCTTCATCGTTCTTATCGGCCCAGGGACGTTCCCACGGAATCAAGGTCCAATCCCCTATTTCTTAAAACAAATTTCATTTACAAAACACAGGTGTCCTGATCAAGGTGGACTATAAAAGTATTTTTCCTGTGGAATCAATCCTATGTGCCATTCAATTTCATTAGGAAACTGGAAATACGTGATACAATCCACGGGAAATGCACATTTAGTAAGAAATGGCTAAAGAGCAAAGGTTGACCGAAAGGCACCACCTCACTGGGTCGTTTCAAGGCCCTTCTCCAAAACCTGGGAGCACTCCTCTAATGCAAATAGTTCCTCCTGCTGTGGGAAGAAAGAAACAGTGATGAAGCATCTTCACTTGACTTCAGAGGAGCAGAGTCTGTTCCTCCTGAGACGTTTAATCCTCAGGAACTTGATCTCCATATGCCTTAAAATACCAGAATCCCATCTGTTCACAAATGTCACACAAAATACCCCTCTAAAATACTAAGACCATCAAGATGACCCTGGAGAAGATAGGCCATTTGTGGAAAGAAACCCGCGAAGCTGCAGGTAAAAAGCATCCGTACCTGTGGAAGTGCAGTGTTGAGCTGCCTCTGCAAGGAATCCCGTTCATGACCAACCTCCTGGAGCTTCCCCTGGGTCAACGCCAGCGTTTCTTGAGTCTCTCTCAGTGTATCGAGAAGACGGTCCCTCTCTTCCAGCATGGAGACCATCAACTGTTCGAAATGTGAATCTGCTTCTGGCTGCGAAGGCGAGCCGGACCCATGGTCCCCACTTCCTCCTGGGGGGCCTTCCGCTTCACTGATAGTTGGCATCACCTCGCACATCATCTTGAAAGAAAGGCCCCAAACTACAGTCAGTAAGTGCGAAATAAAGGCTCTCACAAAGCTGCAACGTTATAGCGGTCTGTCCTTATTAAATGAAAGACTGACAGCCTCCTTCTCAGATCTGACTGTTCGGCTCTGAACAGAATAAACTGGGGAAACACACACGCCCGCAATTCCCGGACCTCGGAGGAGGACGTTGACAGACAACGACCCCAGTGCAGGGTCAAGACGGAAACCTACCTCTCGCACAAAGAACCACCCCTCGGTATCTTGTTTGCAACGCTGTACTTTCTAGACGTTGAAAACAAGTGTACTTCTGTAACTTTTCCCCCCTCTATTTCCTGGTGGAGGAGAGCGGAGACAGGGCCACCCAATCAGGCTTCGGGAAAAGCACAGAAGGCCACAGAGCCAGTCAAACTGACAAGTACAGAATCCACCCGGCATCTCACAGGAATGTGTGCAGTCAGCTCCTGGGGAGGACGGCCGGCTCCCCGAATTCTCGGCTGGATTTGGTGGGGAGCGCTAAAAGCACTGGATTCCTCCAGGGGCCGGGAGAGGTGGTTTCCAATGGCTATAACCGTTGGTCCCACAATCTAACTTACTTAATAGAGCCCCCCCTCCGCCCCCCAAATTCCAGAATGGAAATAGAGCAGGTCGACACAGCCGGCTAGGAAGGAAAAGGGAAGGTGAGGCTGGGAGAGGCTGTTCCGTGTCCCGAATATAACGACAGAGCGAGGGGATGGGGGGCCGTTCCCGACGCTGCCCGCGGTATTCGGGGCTCGGCAGACCCCCCCACAACGAGACAGATGCCCGAGACCGCGCACCCGAGGGCGATCACCTTTTCCCACTCACACCCGCACGGGGTACGGCAGGTCCCCGGACCCCGGGGCGCTGGGAACCGTTTGCAACCGGAGCCCAGCAAGAGCCGGGGCTTCTTGCGGCCACAAGTGCTCACGTTCCACGTTCCGTTCGGCGCTGGGCGTTGGGGTCGCCGGGGCAACGGGGTCGCCCGGGCGATGCAGGCAGGGGAGGGGGCGGCTCGCGGGGTCAAGGACTCGCCGCTCCGGGCGCGGGCGGGGCGCGCCCCCCAGGGTCCCGCCGGGGTTCCCACGGGCGCCCGCAGGCTCTCCCCACGGACCGCGCGCCGCGGGCTCGCCCCCGGGAGCGCGCCCTCCCCCGAGGCTGACACGGGGCGGCCGCGCGAGGAGGGGCCGGCGCCCGGGGCCCCGCTCCGCCGAGCCTGCCTCAGTCTCCCGCTCCCTTACCTTGCTCGCCGGCGGGAGCGGGCGAGGAGGCTCCGCGGCAGCTCCCGGGCGGCCGCTCGCTCCGGGCGAGCTCGGGGCCCGACGAAGGCAGCCCGCGCCCGCGCCCGCCCCGCGCCCGCGGCCCCGGGCCCGCCGCCCCCAGTCACTAAGGCCGGCCCGCGGCCGGACACTGGAGGAGCGCAGGAGGAGCGGGCCCGGCGGCGCGTCGCCGGCGTCAACGTGCCCGACGTCGGGCGCGTCGGCGTAGCGTCAGCGCCGAGAGCCGCCGGCCCGCCCCGCCCCGCCCCGCCTCGCCCCGCCCCGGGGAGGGGCGTCGAGGGAGACCCGTGGCGTCCCAGTGCGCAAGCGCCGCCTCCTCAGGTGGGACGGTGTGCGCCTCCCCGGCGCGGATTGGACGGGCGCCGCCCGAGCCCCGCCCCCGCGGGCCCCGCCCCGGCTGGGGTCACCTACCCCGAGCGGTGGCTGGGTGCTCCGGTCCTCGGGTCCCGACAGCATCTTCCACCGCCCTGCCGCCCCCGGATCTCCTCCTCCTGCGCCCGGACTCCGAAGGCGCCGGACGCTTCCCAGCGTCACGTCTCCACACCTTGCAGGGGAGCGCGCGCGGGCGGATCCCGGCGTGTCGCCTCCGGAGCCTGCTCGGAACCGATACTTCCAGGACGCGGTCTCGACGCAAGACCCGTTGACCTCCCTTTACCTGCTGTGCTCGAGCGGGCAGAGATGGGCGGCGAGCGACGTGCAGGCTCCAGGGCGCTGCGTGGACAACGCAGACTCGCCGGGCACACCTGTTCCCGCTGCCGGCAGATGCTTGCTGCGGTGCGCGCCTGAGCCCACTCGGGGACCCGGCTGGGGCGCAGGGCCTTGTCTCTGCGGTGGGGAGGGGATCCAGAACGACCCCCAGGGCTTTCCTGATGAGTAGAACAGATGCGAAGAGCAGCCAGATTAGAACCCGGCTGGGGAGGGGGGAGCACTCCTAAATGATGGTCATTTTTGTAAGTCTCAAACACTTTAATGCTTGTTCATATTCATATTCCACCCTTACTCAAACCCTTTGAAACACCAGCTCTGCACCAAGTCCTATGCTAGATCCTGCAGGTACACATATTGAGATTATATATATATACCTTTAAAACATTAAAGCATATGCTCCCCCTTAGGGTATGACTCCTGGAGCACACACTTCTCACGGACCGTAAGGTCAGGGCACTGTTGCCAGGTGCCACTGGCCACTGTCTGGCTCTCTGTGGTGAGGCAGCCAGGAGTCCCTGAATTGACCAAGTCTAAGTAAAGGCTGTATGGGGGGCGATGAACCCCACCAAGGCTGATTCCTTGACTCCCCCATTTGAGCTCACCAAGAACAGATGCTACCTCTTATTGGCTTTCTTCACTCCCAGAGTCCAGGACCACACCTCCTTTTCATTTGTGTATTCATGCAATAAAGATTTATTGAGTGACGACATATGAACACGAATTTGCACCCCTGACCCGGCATCTGGAACAGAGGAAAGTTTCAGCTCTCCTCACATGTACCAGCATAATTCATCCTGTCTCATAAAGTGCCTGTCTCCTAAGAAATCAGCAAAATACCCGAATTTAGTTCAGTGGGGTGGAATGTTCATTCATTTTATGATTCTTGGTAGGACCCTATGAGCCAGGCATGGCCTAGGTTTGGGGAACACAGAGCTAAGACATCATTGCCCCCATTTTACAGCATGGAAGGGAGAAGGGAAAGAGACTATTGCAATGTCTGTCCGATAAACAGTGTGTGACTGGTGCTGAGGAAACACAGAAAAGGAGGATCCAACTCTCCAGCTGGCATCGTGGGGGCTTCCCAAAGGAGATAACATCTGAGGTGGGTCTGGAAGGGATGAGCAGTTTTCCAAGCAGAGAGGGGAGAAGCCCATTTGGTATTGGTCCGGGAAAATGAGACGCCAGATTGCACTCATTTTCATTCATTCATTCATTTCATTCCCCCAGACTGCAAAGTCAGTAAGAGGAAATTGTAAGCAACCTAAATGGCTAACGAAAAGAGATTGGTTAGCTCTGGCCAGTATGGCTCAGCACTTAGAGCGCAGGAAGAGCGTAGAGAGTCTTCACAAATGTGCCACCAGCCTGGGCTCCAGATAATGTAGTTAGTTGTCATGAATGTCAACCTGGAGCATGACCTGGGCCACCTCTCCTCTCTAGAGACACCAGCAACCCAAGGAAGAGAGTCCTGTGAGAACAGAGTGTGTCTCAGAGAGATCGGGGTGCATCTCAAACCCATCAGAAATGTGTAAGAACCTAGTGAACGGTGGTGTGACAGGCAGCCGGCAGGTCTGGGCCGGAAGAGCTGTGTGGGTGGGTGGTGGGACATGGGACCCTCCCTTTAGGAGAAAGACACTAAGCCCAGAGAGTCCACAGGGATTTGCCTGCAGGCAGTCAGCCAGTTTGGGGCAGAAATGGGACTGGAACCCTGAGTGAACCCGGAGCTCTTGGTTCCTGAGTCCACCCTGCTTGGATTTCCCATGTACCCCGGCGAAGGTGGGAGGTCAGTAAACAAGGAGAGAGGAGAAAGAGCATTTCACTTGTTCACTTCACTGAATTCTCAAAGTAACTCCCCACACGGGTTCCTATATCTCCCCATTTTGCAGATGAGGAAACTGAGGTCCAAGTGGCTGCCAAGCAGGAAAATCATCACCCGAGTGTTCCAGTTTCTGTGGCAGTTCGATTCCTCACGGTCAACCAATGAACTGAAGTTTTGGCCCATCGATGAGCCAGCCTGTTGGAAGCTCGGTTGGTGCGTGTCTGCCCCCGAGAGGAGGGACCAGAAAATCACATTTGCAGACCATTTTACAGAAAACCCTTTGCCCCTGTGACCTCACTCAATCCCACATCCTTTCCCACATGACGCTGAGGCGCAGAGAGGTTAGATGAGCTGCCCAGTGCCCGTGATTTGGGTGAAGCTGTGGCTGCCACCCAAGGACGGTTCCAGAGCCAGTGTTCCTGATGCTACATCAACAGGTGCCCCAGACCCCAAAGCTGGGATGGAATTCCTTGATCCGTGCAGGCCCACCCAGGTACTGGTGCCCGATGCCCACTGAGGGTCTCCGCTGCCCTGTCTGCAATGTGCCCCATTGCCCCAGCACAATGCCAGGCACGGAGTCCCCAGCTCTGAGACTACCTCACAGCCTCCCGCCCAAGATTTCTATCCCCTTCACCTATATAATTAGGTTTTAAAAGCAAGTCATCAGCTTCCTACACCTTGCTTTTCTGGACTTCACTGAGTTCATCAGAAGGTGTCATCTAATAAAATTACCCAGCTCTTGCCGAGAGAAGGGCCACGGGCAGTTCCAACTCTCTTCCCTTAAACTTGACCTCGGGCAGGGCATGTAACCCACACTAACCCTCAATCTCCTCGTCCGTCAGGCGGGGATAATGAAGTCTAGCAGCTGGGATGTTGAAATGAGGGGTGACCCCCACCCCCACTGGCTCCTTGCCTGGTCCAGTCACCGTTTCCCTCTTTGAAAGTCACTTTCACGCAGTAGTTACACACGGAGACTCTGGAGCGAGGTGGCTGGTTCCAGTCTCTGCTCTGCTCCTTTTTGCCTTGGCTGTGCACTCTTAGGTAAGTTGGTTGGCCTCTCTGGGCCTCAGTTTCTTCATTCCTCAAGCGAGGGTCACAGGACCGCCGAGTAGGCTGGCCGAGAGAGTTAAGTGAGGGGGAAGGGCGATGCAGTGTAGGAGCCCTGGTATCACCAGCCGAAGTCCCTTTTCTTCGGGCCACGCCCACCCCCCCTGGCTTCTGATAGGCTGAGAGAGAGCCTGGGACCCTGTTCTCATCACTGCCACAGAAGG